CCCCAAAACCCCAAAACCCCAAAACCCCAAAACCCCAAAACCCCAAAACCCCTGTGGGTTAGGAAAATATTGAATTTGGGAGTAAATCTTACACAAATTTAGAGAATTTATTAAGCACGCTTAATTAGTCTCTTTGGATAAGGTTTTGTTGCGCTTGAATGGCTCTAGATTCTCATTCTGAGTATGGGACCTTTTCAAAAATGGTGACTCTTCCTTACTAAATCCTTTTTGTGAGCTAAACGATTTTGAATGAGATTTCTTTGAGCTTGATTGATGGATATAGGACTTATTAGTCACATCTTCCAACACAGGGCCTGAATTCAGAGCTTGTAGAAGCAAGCATACAGCATCTTTTAATGATAGAGAAGAATCCTGCTCGAGCTGATTGGCAATAGACTTTATCTTTCTGAGCTTTGATTCAGAGGAGCTTTCTTTGGCAGCCAACTTCTTATTCTTCGATTTTACAGCTACAAGTTCTTTCTTGTATTTCTCGCTCAGATCAATAGCATTATTATGGTCTTCTTTCAGCTTAGTAATATATTTCATCTTCTGGTTTTTGTTATTGTGACTTAGGAGATTATTGTTCTGGGATTCGAGAGAGTCAACCTTTTCCTTCATAATTTCTTTTTGTTCACTCGCATACTTGACTTCTTCCAGCATTCTCTGAAGTTCTGACTCCTTTTGATCCAGTAGTTTTTGAAGTTCAAATTCTTTCCCTTCGAGTTCATAGATGGCAGCCTGGTTGTGGTCTATGATCTCCTTGAATTTTTCATTTTCTTCTGATATCTGCTTGTGTCTTCTTTCCATAGAGTATATCTGGTCCCTGAGCTTCTCGACTCAGTCTATATCTACATCTCTACATCTTTGCTCTAGAGTCTGGCATTTCTTGGCTGTAATTGTTAGAGGTAAGGATTACCAGTTGATGCTAGAATCTCCTCTTTCTTTTTCATCTCAGTGTCATGGAGGGACTGAAGATTATTGTGAGCATTCTTCTCTTTGTCGAGGGCTTTGGAGAGCCTCTCGGCCCTTCTATTAAAAGTTTCTGCCATCTGCTGAGCATCTTTTAAGGTGCTTTCATACTCGAGGATTTTGTCTGTAAGATTAGTAATATCTTCTTCTAATTTCGAATTTGTATCCTTGAGGGAGTTGTTTTGAGAGTCAAGGTCATGAATTTTCTCACGCTGATTTTCAATAGTCTTCTTAGCATTTTCATATTGACAACCTAAAGCTCCTAACTCATTTGTCTTTAGATTAAGATTATAAGACACTGTCTTAAGTTGATCTTTGCATTTGTAATACTCTGTCTGGAAGTCAGATTTCTCTACTAAACTTTGCTGCAAGGACTCAAGCTGCTCATCAATTTCGTCAATCTTGCTCTGCTTGTTATTAATTTCTTCTGCCTGCTTCTCTAGTTTTTCTTGAAGTTGTTCAAGCTCGCTATAAGTTCAAAATCCAAAAATACCTGTTCGCAAAATCATAGCTTTCTTGTAGAGTCTCGTTGTTAATCTTTAGTTCACTATTTTTGGAACTCTCATCTGAAATTTCGTTCTTGAGCTCTTCACTCAGTTCCGATAATTTCCGATTTTCTTCTTCAACGTCTTGAATGAAATGCTTGAGTTTGCAATTCTCATGCTCTATTTCGTCCTTCTGAAGCGCCATATGCTGACACTCATTCTGAATAGTTTTGATATCCTGGCAGTATTTCTCCTTTAGATGATCAAATCAGTTTTTAGTCACATTTAATCTTTGACCTAGCTCGTTATACTGCTGCTCTTTTGACTCAAGAAGTTCCTTGAAGTAAGAAGTCGTGCCTTTGAGGTTCTCAATTTCTTGTTCAAGAGTCCTCTCACGACCTTGGGCTTCGATTAAGTCCAGATTTATCTTTTCCCGCTCTTGTTCTGTAGATTTTCTTTTGCTAAGCATTTCTCTCTTATATGAGACGAATTGCTCATCAAGAGCTTGCTTGGAGCTCTCCAACATTGATATTTGGAATATTTTGTCCTTAATTTCCGAGTTCTTTGAACTAATAATTGAAGTGCATTCTTTTATATGAGACTTAAGCTCCTCTATTTCTTCATTAGCACCTTTGAGTTCTTCCTCAAGCTGATTCTTGTCCTCGATGGGAAAGAAGGAGACGTCTGAAATCCTCTTGCTAGCACTGGTGTGAATCTGATTCTCTGCTTCTGGTTCTCAGAACTCTGTTAAGTATTCTTGAGTCATTTTGTTAAGATTTACAATAGCTGAAAGAACTTCCTTGAGCGTATATCCTTCAATTTCTCAGTCTCCTTTCATCTCCTCAATTTGATTCTTGAGTTTGGAACATTTGGATTTGAAACCTTCGAGCTCAGGATTATTAGAGATTTTATACTCTAGGAGCTCCTTTTCTTCTTTCAGAAGATCAATCTGATGATTTCTGAAGTCTTCGAGGTTGATCCCTGAGCTGTTTTTGAGCTGGGCAATCGTCTTGTCACGAGAGGATATCAGCATCTGGTCTTTCTTAGAGATCTTATCGTATTCCTCAATCGTAGTCTCAAGCTTCGAAATGTGCACATCCTTCTTATCTATCTCCTGCTCGTATAATTTATCCTTTTGGATAGATTGTTCGAGATGTAGCTTGACTAAATTTTGTAATTTCTTTACTCTTCTCACAAGTTTTGCATCTCCAGTGGCTTCTTCAGGGCCAAGCTCAGAGACCATAGAAGGAGAGAAGGTTTGAAATTGCATCCTTGGTTGATTTCCCAGGTGCTGATTTAATGCTTTCTTCTCTGACAAAGCTTCGCTGACCCTATTCTTTGTTCCTGGGCTTCTATATTTAGGCTCTTCTTCACCCAAATCGCATTGCCAAGAGGCTTTTTCTAACTCAAGATCATGGATTTTGACCTTGAGTTTCCTTATTTCGTTCTTAAGTTGGGCTACATTTGCGGAAGAATCTTCATTAATAACCGCATCGTTCTTGATCATCTTAGCTCTTTGGGCAAACTTCAAAGTAGAATTCGTCTCAAAATATGAGCAAGAAGCTGGTGAGATATTAGCAATCATCAGTGTCTTTGCATTTCCTCCAAGCGAGTTCTTGAGTAAATATGTAAGCTTGGAGTCTCTGTAATGAACAAACCGCTTTTTGCCCTGATCTATTTCGACCAGGCAGTTGATTACGTTTCCAAGGATTGATAAACTCTTATTAATACTTCCCGCTTCTTTCAAAATGATACCGCCAGCTCCTGTTCTTTTCGCTCTCTCACTACCTGCAAGATCAATAATATGGAAAGAGGATGTAGTGATCTTAGAAACACCTTCCTGTAGCTTTTTGGTCTCTATTTTCAAAGTCATCACAGCATGTGAACGGGAAGAATCCTTGTTCATTTCAGTTCAACTTATGTGCCTATTGAGGGTTCCCTTTTTAATGATTTCGTTCATTTGGGCTGTAGATCTGACATTTTCTTCAATAGCTCCAACTACATAGACTCCTTTCTGGATATCCTCCCTTAGCTTGAGAACTTGTGTCGAAGGGTCAAGTAGATCTTGTATGTTTTCATTATAGATCTCTAGGTAAGAGCATTTAACTAAATATTCAAAATCGCCTTCTTTCTCAAGGCGATTTAGATTATAGAAGATATACTCGAAAGATCGAGGCATGATCCCTCTGTTCTCGCTCTGCATGTCTTCTTCATCGGTAAGCCCTTGGATGGTAAAGGTCTTGCCAGAACCAGTCTGGCCATAAGCAAAAATAGTTCCATTATAGCCTTCAAGTCAATTTTCCACTATTTCTTTCGCGACTAGAAGATTTGCAGTGAAGTCTTACCTTGATTAAAGATTTCTTTCTGCGATTGTCTATGATCTGCTACATAATCGAACCTGAGGGTCTTTGGGGACTAAAACTCAAGATAAATTCATACAATTTTTGAGTTCAGAGGCTTCTTTTTAGTGTCGAGTTCTGATTCCAGTATAATTTCTAATATAAGGAGGTTTAAATTTTACCATTATTCAAAATTTGTACACATTCTTGCGACCTATAGGTTAAATATCGCTTTACCCATTCTCTTTTGAATTCAAAGGACGCACTCTTACTGCAACTTTTATATTATCCTTACCAGACATATGAAATTATCCTACAAAAGTAAGCTTCTCAAACCTAAAATCTGACCCAAAACCCCCTAAAATGTCCAAAATACCCTCAAATCCCTCAAAAACACCAAATCCTCTTTCACTGCCCCTTCAAATTTCAAAAATGCACCATAACTTTTCAGAATCTCCACTCAAGCCCAAAATTTTCCCTCTGCCGCACAAATCCTTCATATTTCTTACACTCAAATTTTAATTTTTCAACCTTGATTAATAAAACCGGGGTTTTGGGGTTTTGGGGTTTTGGGGTTTTGGGG